CGCCGGCGAGGGGGCGGGGCCGCTAGAGGGGAGAACCTTCTGAACGTCAGCGGATTCGGGCCAGAAACTCCCGGCCTCGCCGAGCGTCCGTCCCGGTTTCCCGAAGTGAAAAGGCGGGACATTTTGGTGGAGAAAGGGCGCTGGCTGGAGAGCCGACCGACGGGTCCATTCCAGTCTCCATGCATCTGCACTGACTTATCTCACCAGCGCTGGACGCACACACGCAGGGGCTCAAGCCAGACACGTGCATCCGATGCTCACTTTTGTGGCTGGCACTTCTTTATCTTGGCCAAGTTACTGCGCCTCGGAAACCTGTTTGCTTACTTATAAAATGGGCGCAGGGCCCTAACCGGTGTGGCTCAGTGGATAGAGCGCGGCCTGCGGACTGGAGGGTCCCAGGTTCGATTCCGGTCAAGGGCATGTACCTTGGTTGCGGGCACATCCCCAGAAGGGGGTGTGCAGGAGGCAGCTGATTGATGTTTCTAACTCTCTATCCCTCTCCCGTCTTCTCTGTAAAAAAAGTCAATAAAATATGTTTTTTAAAAATGGGCGTAGGAATAAGACTGCCTTAGAGAGCGTGAAGATCCAGTTAAGTAATACAGGGCCTTTAGACAAGGAGCTGACAGGTATGGTAAATGTTCGGTAACTGTCAGCTTCACATCCCTGCAGGTTGAAAAGCAAAAGATGCTCGCACGGCAGGAATAGCCAGCAGCTGAGCAGAACGAAGGAAACCCCTTGACCAGCGCGTATAGGTCCTGCCTGTTCTTGCCCTTTATGTAGGAGGCATCACACAGCGGTTACAGCTGTTGGTCCTCTGCCCTCTGCCCTGCGAGGGGGTTAGTAACGGTGCCGGGAAAGGACCCAGGCACATCCAGTTTGGCTCTTCCGGTTCAGGAGCTCACCTGCTATATAACTTGGAATAGGTGACTTAATTTACTTAAAACGATGTAAAAATATGGAATAATAAAAATCTGGTAGATTTTGTGTGAGGAGTATAGTAAATATTCTCTGTAAGGTGTCTGGTCCATAGAAGGAGCTAAAATCTTTAAAAATATATATGACCTTAGAGAGAGAGGAAGGGAGAGGTAGAGAGAGAAACATCATAGAGAGGAACATGGATTGGCTGCCCCCTCCACGCCCCTGACGGGGGGGTCGAGTCCGCAACCTGGGGATGTGGCCCGACCGGGAATCGAACCGGTGCCGTCTTGGTGCTTGGGTCACATTGGACTAACAGGACTAATACGTTCCCCCATCCAATCGCAGCTACATCCTCGCTTGCATCTCCACGGACCAATAAGGTGACGCCTGACCCGTCCAGACCCACTTTATAGAAATGGACTCTTCAGGGGCGGAGCGGGCACTCTTCTCCGTCCCAACATAGACAGCAGCTGTTCCGGGCTGGAGCTGGGCCGTCTCCGCCATAAAGTCACCTCACCCTGCAGTGGGGACTCCCGTTGCCATAGAGATGGTGACAGGGCCTTCGTTGGACAGTCTTCACTCGCTGACCGTCTACCTGTGAGGTCGACTCCATCCGATCCCGTGGCTCCCACCTGTTGTGGGCGACGAGGGGGGCGGGGGGTGGAGAGTCCGCTCCCAGCGGGACGGAGGGAACAATGTCGGCATGAGTCTCGGCCCCACTTCACTCAGAACTGACTCCAGGGCAGCTGAGCTCTAATCGGTGTCCTGTCGGGTGTCCACTCAGCCGAGCGAGCTGGGCTCCGGCCGGGGGCCGACCAGACCTCCCGGGAGGCCTCCCTCCGCCGGGCTCGCTGTGGGGACGGGG